TAGTTAAAAATAAAAATGATAAAATAAAATTTTTAAAAAAGATGCTTTGAGTTTCATTGGGAATAGAAGAGTGAAGAAAGCTGGAATAATCAAGACTGAACAGAGAGCAAAGGTAGAGAATGGGAAGAAAAAGCATTTTGTGTTTTCACTTCAGGGTTTATTACAAATAGACAGCTATAGCTACATCAGGATTCACTAATATCACTGTGGAAGAGGTGCATGACTAGATAAATAACTAAAAACACATGCAGTAAAAATATTTGTTTGTTTTTTTCCACCTCTTCCTGCTCTCCCCTCTGCCTTCATTCATTAAAAATGGAGAGCAAACTAGGTAGAGTAGCTATACCACTATGAGGGTCACCAAAGTCCCGATCATCAAACCCGGCACAGATTGGGGTTATGGGAAGGTTAAATATTGAAACGGAGAAAATTAACTTGTCAGGCTAAGGCAATGAGGCTAGCTGGCACAGGTTGTGAGGTCCCTCTGCCTGGATGCAGCACACTGACTCAGAGGGATGCCAAGTGGGGAGGAGGTCACATCCCCTGAGGCTTATGGCAATCAGCTGATTTAGCCAGTGGCCCAGCCTAGTTTTACTAAGTAATGTCTCAAACTGAGAGTTATCTGAAAAGGTATGTATATGTGGATAAATTCCAGTCAAACTTATCCCAGAAACAAGTACTTTTCCTCTTGTGTTAAGTGCAGGAGACCATAGATGTGTGTTTAACTAGATAATGTGCAGTGACACACAACAAAATGTCTTCTGCTAGATAGTCATGGGAGAAGAAGGAAGAATATTCCTTTACTTTTTAAAAAAATACAGGATGTTGAATTCTCTTCAGTTAAGGTACTAACTAATTTTTAAAGCTACATATTTAAAATATGTCTCTGAAGCACAGGGAAGTTTTGTTTTGTTTTTTTTTTTTTTTAAATACAACAAGCAGAATATTGACTCTGTGGATTCACTCCCTAGCAAAAGTGGTGAAAATCATAAGAAAAAACAACTATTCAAGTCTCTGGAAATGGTCCTAAGAATATACAGCAAATGCAGAAACATTTACTCAAGAAAATCTATGACTCTGTATGAACTTGAGTGTCTGTATATTTGAACCAAACTTGCTCTCCTCCCCCACCCCCCCAAATATATCTAGACAGACACTCCACTTCAGATTGTGCAGCCAAGAACACAGGGCTTCCTCTCCCTTGAGCTCCCAGTCAGAGGGTCATCTTCCTAAGAGGAACAGGAGTTCAGCATTTCTTAACCTGTCCCCAGCTACTTGTTGCTAAGGCTAAATTCGGGTGAGTGCAGCCCAGAGGTGGAGGTTCCCTCTTCCACCCCACCCCACTCATGGGATGTAGGCTCTAACTTGAGCACGATCTCACTGAGAATACCTGGACCCATCACCCTTGCTTTGGCTAGAAAAGTGTGATTCCACACTGAAAGAGGTAAGCAACCCCCCTCCCTGACCCAAATTGAGTGCTCAGCTCCTAAAGCAGGGGCATCACTCAGAGAAGTGCACCATCGTCTCCACCGCCAGCTCCAGAGTCCTAGCTCAGAGATTTTTCCTTGCGGGTGTGTGTGGCAAAGGGCGAGAGAAGCATAGAACCTGAGAAACAGACAACTGGGAGGTATCCACCTGAAGTTAGAACAAATCTCAAACACTAACCTGAAACTACTGGTCAACTGGAAATACTTGAAAAGAGCCAGAATGTAATTTGTTGAATTAGTTGTAGAGAAATTTAGGGCCCAGAGCACTTTTGAAAACAATACAGAAATCAGCTAGCACTCTGTGGAATTTAACAGCTGGTGTGATTAGGGAAGGAGACAAAGAAAGCCCTGTGAAAACCACCGCCATCACAGGATGACTTGGGCATACCCAAGGCTGCACTCCTCTGAAAAACAACATCAGAGACTTAACATGTCAGTGGGGAAATCGTTGTTACCAGTTGCAGTAATTCCAACTCATGGTGACCTTACGTGTTACAGAGTAGAGTTGTTCCATGGGGTTTTCTTGTTGTAATCTGACCGAAGCAGATTACCAGCCCTTTTCTTCCATTGTACTTACTGCTGGGTGTGTTTGAACTGCCAGCCTTAGGTTAGCAGTCTAGCACAAACTATTTGTGCTACCTAGGGACTCTTCTGAGGAGAAGAGACTTAACATGTCAGTGGAGAAATAGACTTCACTAGAATAGTCCAGCCAGTTAATAACAGATAAACAAGCGAATAACAGTAACAGGCCCTCTGGGTGGGTGAACCAGTACCCAGAGTTGCTACAATATGTTATCTAAGATCTCCAGTTTCCAACAAAAACATTAGGAGACATGCAAGGAAACACGATAGCATGGTTATGACCCATGAGGTGGGGGGCAAATAAAACTTCCTGTCAGAGTAACTAGATGTTATCTTTAACAAAGACTTCAAAGTAGTGTTGCCTGATTAGAGTCCATGTCCTGGAGCAGTCCGGCCAATGCAACTTACTCCAAGTCAGAAAGATTATTTAGGAAGTAATACCAACAGGGAGTCCGGCAGCAACACAGGCTGTCATTATGGAGTCCCAGAAGGCAATTTTACATTAGAGCTTATATATCGTTGTCATAAGGGGGACATAGTGTCTTTTAGGCATGTAGCCCACAGATGGCATGGCTGGATGAATTATTAATTACAAGATAATTACAAGAGACTCTTTATCAGACTAAACAGATACATGGTGGACATCTCCTTGTCAGGCTAAAGATTTACAGACCAGACATCTGGGCTCTAATCTTTACATGGGGGGTCATAAGTCACAGGTGCTGGACAGAACAAAACAAAGCCATTAACAAAAGTATGCAGAAAGGAAAAGACAGGCAGAAAGAAACTTATAGGTTCATAATGGCGTTACTTATGTCAAGCTCTCAATCACCCATTTTGAAAAGGAGAAAAACATGTTATGGAGTATTGGGGTCACAGTAGCCATAATAAATATGCCCAAAGAACCAATGGAAATCATCATTAAAGAAGTGAAGGGAGGGCTAATGACAACTTTTCATCAAATGGAGAATATCAATAAAGAAATAGAAATTATAAAAAAATATATAAATTCTGGAGTTGAAAAGTATAATAATTGAAACGAAAAATTCACTCAACAGTAGGTTTGAACTGGAAAAAGAATTATCAAACTAAGAGATAAATCCACACAAAAAACAAAGATCACTAGTAAAGGTGATTAAACAAAAAACAAATCCATTCATTGCCGTCAAGTCAATTCCAACTCATGGTGACCCCATAGGACAGAGTAGAATTGCCCCATAGGGTAAACGTGATTACATCATTATAAAAACCAATAGAAGCACATAATTTTTTCTCCTTTCTTTTCTTGGCTGATTTAAAAAGTAGTTGTATAAAACACTATGTATATAATGTATTGTTGGATGTATAACATATATAAATGCAATATATTTGCCCATAATAGCACAAAGGAGGTGAATGGAAGCAAAGCTGTATTTGGATAAGAAAATGACTCCATGTTAACTTGAATCCATAGGAACAAATAAAGAGAACAAGAAATGATAAGTGAGAAGATTTGTATAACAAAAGCTATAAACATGTATTTGTTCTCTCAACTTCTTTAAAAGACATAAAATTATATAAAGTTATAATTATAACAAAGTATTATTGAGTTTGTAACATTTATAGATGTAATATGTCTAACAACACTGTCACAAAAAAGGATGATACAGAATAGAATTACTAGGGGTAACATTTCTATATCTCACTTGAATTAAGTTAACATAAATCTGAAGCTATGTCTGATAGGATAATACGTATATGGGAAGCCTTAGAGAAACTTCTCAGGAAACAACTAAAAAGTTATAGTGGAAAAAAAAAGGTATTAAAGAGTTTCAAAAGCTATATTAGAGAATATTCACTTAATGCAAAGGGTGGCAGTAAAGAAGAAAAAGAGAAACAAAAAAATACATGAGCCATATAGAAAACAAAAAAGTAAAACGACAGGCATAAATCCCACTGCATCAATAATAATATTAAACGTGAATGGATTAAACAACCCAATCCACAGGTACAGACTGTCAGATTGGATAAAAAAACAAGATCAACTATATGCTGTTTACAAGAAACAACTTTAGACTCACAGATACAAAAAAAAAGAAAAGAAAGTAACAGGATGGAAGAAGATACATCATGCAGTCAGCAACCACAAGAAAGTTGGAATAGGTATACTAGTCTCAGAAAAAATAGACTTTAAAACAAGAAATATTATTAGAGATTAAGAGTGACATTTTATACTGATAGAATATAACAAATATAACAATGATAAGCATATATCATATAACATTCTTCAAAACATATATCATATAACATTCTTCAGAATAGACTGTACGCTAAACTATAAAACAAACCTCAGTAGATATAGAAGGATAGAAATAATACAAAGTTACATTATCTAGCCACAGTGGAATGAAATTAGACATCAATAAAAGAAAAATATTTGAGAAACTTGAAAATATGTGAAAATTAAACAAAAAAATCCTGAATAACCAATAGGTCAAAGAAGAAATCAAAAGGGAAATTAAAATAATACTTTAATATAAATGAAAATGAAGGCACAACATACTAAGACTTATGCGATGCAGCTAAAACTGCTTAAAGGAAAAAAATATATAGATTTAAATGCCTATATTAAGAAAGAGGAAAGATCTCAGATCAATAACCTAAACTTCTACCTTAAGACACTGGAAAATGAATAAACTAAATGTAAAGCAAGCAGAAGGAAGGAAAATTATTAATAAAGATTAGAGTGGAAATTAATGAAATAACCATAAAAACAAAAGAGAAAATTAATGAAACTAAAAGATAGTTCTTGGAAAAATTCAACAACATTGACAAACTTTAGCTAGATTGACCAAAAAAAAGAAGACTAATATTACTGGAATTAGAAATGAAAGTGGATGCGTTATTACTAAAAAAAAAAAACAAAAAACAAAAAAAAACTCATTGCCTTTCAAGTTGTACAAAAGGAGTAAAGGTTAGAACTCCCCTTGACAAGGATGGAAGAGGCCCGCGGGCCTTACAACACATATAGTTAAAGCATTACCACCAAATTTGTGGCATCTAACCACAGTTTTGACAGACCCCTGGTGGCAAAGTGGTTAAGGGCTTGGCTACTAACCAAAAGGTGGGCAGTTCAATCTACCAGCTGCCCTTTGGAAACCCTATGGGGCAGCTCTACTCTGTCCTATAGGGTCACTATGAGCTGGAATCAACTAGACGGCAATGGATTGTGAACAATTAGAAGCTAATAAATTAGGTAACATAGATGAAATGGGCAAATTATTAAAAATATACAAAGTATAGAAACTGATTTAAGAAGATTCAGACAATCTGAATAAACTTATAACATGTAGAAAGTAATAATGAATTAGGAAAAACAAAAAGTATCCACGAAGAAAAGTCCGGGCCCAGACGACTTCACTGATAAATTCTACCAAACATTTAAAGTAAAGTTAATAGTAAGTCTTCACAAATTCTTCCAAAAATAGAAGAGGAGGCAGCACTTCCCAACTCATTCTATGAGGCCGGTATTACCTGCAAACCAATACCAGAGAGAGATATCACAAGTAAAGAAAACTACAGGCCGATACCCTTCTGAATATGGCCATAAAAATTGTCAATAAAATACCAACAGAATTCAGCAACGCACGAAAAGAATTATACACCACGATCAAGTCAGATTTATCCCAAGTATGCAAGTTTGGATCAACATCTGAACATCAATTAATATAACATGCCACACCAATAGAATCAAAAGCAAAAACCACATGGTCATCTCAATAGACACAGCCCGACACTCTTTTATGATTTAAAAAAAAACCCTCAATAAACTAGGAATAAGAAGGAACGTCCTCAACATGATAAAGGGCATCTATGAAAAACTGACAGCTGACAACGTACTTAATGGTGAATGAGTGAATGTTTTCCTGCTAACATCAACAACGTGGACTTGGAATATTCCAGCATCTACAACCTTGTGAACCATTTCCTTGATGTAAATCTCTCTGTGTATATTTATGCGCTTTACTGGTTTTGCGTCTCTAGAGAACCCAGCCTAAAACTAGTGGGATTAGTGGCAGTTATGTTAATGAGGCAGGACTCAATCTATAAGATTAGGTTGTGTTTTAAGTGAATCGCTTTTGGGATATAAAAAAGAGCAGAGAGACGGGGGACCTCATACCACCAAGAAAGCAGCACTGGGAGTAAAGTGTGTCCTTTGGACCCAGGGTCCCTGTGCTTAGAAGCTCCTTGACCAGGGGAAGAATGATGACAAGGACCTTCCCCCAGAGTTGACAGAGAGAGAAAGCCTTTTCCTTGAGTTGGCACCCTGAATTTGGACTTTTAGCCTCCCAAACTGTGAGAGAATAAATTTCTCTTTGTTAAAGTTATCCACTTGTGGTATTTCTACTGTAGCAGCACTAGATGACTAAGACCCAACGCAACCTAACTGAACTCAAGTCAACTCAATTCATTTCAGTTCAGGTCTGCTCTATCCTGTTTTCTTCTAACACATTTTTTGTTTAAAAAATACAAAGTTTAACAAACAGTTGAGTCTATCTTGACTAGAACTGACATTTGCTGGTGGAGGGTGAGGGGATATTCTCATTCTAAAGCAAATCTCATTTACTATGTCAACAACTAGGTGAGTGCTAATTCATTATTTTTAAATCTCCTCGCCAGTAATTAAATTAGTCACGGGTAACACATCAATCTTTCAGTTCCTAATATGAAAAAATACAAGAATTCAAAGAAAATTCACACTGACATTTCTTTTTATTCAGTGTGATTGAAAAGTTCTAATCTATTCATATGACAGCTAGGAAATTATCACAAGGTGACTGTGAGTATGAATTTTCTAGTACCAATGTCACAGACTTTTGTTTGGAGTATTTTGAATCTTCAAAAAGCATTTTGCTTCATTTGATATATGCAGACAGTATCTACATATCAATCATTGTGGGTCATCATATTTAATCCACATTCCTCCTGCTTCCATGTGAAAGAACTTCCACTAGAGTAACACTTCTGGCTCCTTATTCCCCTTGAGCTCCTCACTTACTCCTCCCAAGAGGAAAAAGCCTCTTTCCTGGCTGATGAGTTTGCAAGAAGGGGATGGACATGGTTGGCTGGCCACTTCCTCTTCATCTGGTGGAATTAGCCTGCCCAGAGAGTCAATTCTGAGCTGCTCTCATCCTCTGTGGGGAGGCTTGTAGACAACCAATTCTCCCTAAGACTGAGTTAATCAGTCTTTCTCTTTCTGAGGTGACATCTTAACAAACTCATTTATCCACAAATCTAAAACCATGTCATATTTAGTAATCTCCTAAATTTTATTTAATATTCACCAACCATGCAGTGAGGTAGATTTCATAATTGTAGTTTTACAGATGATCAAACTAGGTTTCAGAAACATGGCTAGATCATATGACTAGCAAATTATAGAGGTCAGTCTTGATCCTATTGAGAGTCTTCAAGGGGATCAATTAAAGAGTATCATACCCCTTTCTGTGACCCAGTTCTGAGCAAATTGAGAAATAAATCCACGAGTGTTAGAGGTGTAGATATCAATTTCACTACTAATAAGAGTCAAATGGGAGCTCACGTGCTTGTTAATACCAAATCCCACAATAAAGCAGATTTGCCTGCACAGGACTGAGGCAGGCCTTTCACTCCTACCCTTTGCTACTCCCTTTCTCCTTCACCCTATCTTTCCCATGCCCCATAAGTGTAAAGCTTAACTAGTAACTAGTCTAGACTCTAGAGAAACTAAGGAGAAAGCTTGCTCCTTGTGTAGCTTGCTCTCACGGTTAGAATGGCAGAGAGGACATGACTAAGCTAGGTTTCTTCTTCACTAATTTGTCAATCAAGATAAATAACCGCTTTCCCTGGGGTGGAGTGAGTGAAAAGTCAGAGAGAAGCTATAAGATAACTCTAAACAGCTCTGAATCCACATGGAAGAAAATATCAGGAGTAGGGAACAAGCATTCTCCTCCAATATTCCCCAGATTGAATTGTCTCTTAAACTATTAAACTCAAATAATAATTTTATGGTTGTCCCTCAGAGGAAGAGATGTACAAGCTACTAGGAAAGTTTTGCTCTCATCTTCATGAGGTCGTTCCCCAAATTCTTACCACCTGCCCTTTGTGGATTCTCCTGGGACCCCCGGGCCACTGTAGAATTTGCCTCCTGAATATCTGGAAATGGATACGTACATTTCATTAAATAAATCCATTTTAAGGTCAGTCTATACAAAGCTGAAAATTCATTTTCTGTTCTGTTTCCATTTCCAAATTATGTCCACCTAATTTTCCAACAGCATGTCAGAGGTTCTGCAATGAGATTAAATGACAACATGTAGACTGTATAAAAGTTCTCCAGTAATAAGATGCCAACACCATAGCAATACCCCAAATATGAACATAAAGACCCCTACAGTTATAAAAGTTTCAGAGCAAAACTGAAGTTCAAAGATTAAATCTCCTTTCAAGTTAAAGTAAAAATATATTAAAGTCCAAATGAATTAAAGTTTGATAGCAAATTATTTTCCCTAGGGAAATTAAATGTTCAAAGTTTAACATTTCTAAATTGAAATTAAGACCCCAAACCATCCTCCTAAATTTATTATGCAGCTCAGCCTCAGTTAGGGGGATTATGGATGCCTGGGTAGATTTGGCCTTTCAGCAACTGCCTTCTGAGTTGTCTCTGATAGGAATGTGTGTAGTTCCTGCATTCAGGGCTTCAGAATTTGTAATGTAAAGTCTCTGATATACGTCATTTTAAAGAACCAAAGAGTTAATAAGAAACCTGAAATTAATGCAGCATTGACTCCACACCCACGAAATTTAGAAAATAAACCAATCTAGATTAGTCATCCATGCAGAATTATGTTCTCAGAAACCAGGACTTAGTGTTACCAAACACCACAGTAGAGAGATGCTGCCCAGTCCATACCAGTCCATGACCCATGACCTACGAACTTAAACTCCATTAAGAAAAATCTTCCAGCACGAGGCTAACTTAGGCATCACACATTTATGTATCTGGGGCTTTGGGAGTGGGGTGGGAGATCCACCTGTGCATACTACTTTCTCTGTCAGAAAACGACGATTGAGCCATTGCTGTCATTTCACAAAGTTGAGAAATTTGCGTTGTTGACAGCCCCAAACATCAGGTCTTAGTTAAGGTGCCCTTCTAGCCATTTAGAATAGTCCTTTTTCTTTTGTTAGCATGCATGCATTCCTGGGCTACTACTGACTGCTATACCTTTTCATTTAGGCCAAAAAAAACTGCTTCCTAGACTATGTGTTTCATTTTCTCCTTCATATGTAATTAACCAGTCTAGACCCAAGGGAGCTTGTGGATAAGCCTCATGAATCCAAGGTTAATCTTGGTGTAGTTCCCTTTATGGGCTTATGGGCCTGAAGACAATTCAAAATATAAATATAAATATATGTAAATATATATATATATATATTATGGGAAGTGTACCCATGCCTGGCACTACAAATTTAAAGCCAGAACCTCATTAGTGCTTTCTGTAACACTGGAAGAACTCAGCTGTCTTTCACTCTAAAGCAGCAAATATCTTTCCGTCCACCAATGCCTGGAAGACCTGTAAGACCTGTAGCAACTGAACTTTGCCTCAGTCACCACTACTTTGAAAAGTTGTGCCTGCGTTTTATAGTGAGCTGCACCACGTGAAACTTGCTGAGACTGTCCCAGGTGGTCTCTTGTTGCTAGGCCCCGCAGGCTGCCAGGGATTTGACTGAGGCCAGGCCCTTTACAAGGCCAAGGCCCTTTGCTTAAGTTCCTGTCTCTATAGAAACAGCCATTTGCCTTTGGACAAAGCTGCCATAACTATTTGTATACATCAAGGTCAAAACACCCTATTTCCTAAAGCTTAATACTTTTCTAATGTCACAATAGTTAAATGCTAGCCCCATACATACTGCGAGAAAAACAAAAAACAAAAAAAAACACAAAACAAAACAAATTCAAAATGTCCAGTCCAAATAGTAAAGTTCAAAGCCCAGAGTTATAGGTCTTGCCCCTCCCTCCCTCCCTCCCTCCAGAGT